CCCCCAAACCCCCAAACCCCAAACCCCCAAACCCCCAAACCCCCAACCCCCCAAACCCCCAAACCCCCAAACCCCCAAACCCCCAAACCCCCAAACCCCCAAACCCCCAAACCCCCAAACCCCCAAACCCCCAAACCCCCAAACCCCCAAACCCCCAAACCCCCAAACCCCCAGACCCCCAAACCCCCAAACCCCCAAAACCCCCAACCCCCAAAACCCCCAACCCCAAAACCCCCAAACCCCCAAACCCCCAAACCCCCCAACCCACCAAACCCCCAAACCCCACACCCCCAACCCCCACACCCCCAAACCCCCAAACCCCAAACCCCCAAACCCCAAACCCCAAACCCCCAAACCCCAAACCCCAAACCCCGCAACCCCACACCCCAAACCCTAAACCCTAAACCCTCCACCCTAACCCAAACCCTAAACCCTAACCCTAAACCCTAAACCCTAACTAAACCCCTAACCCTAAACCCTAAACCCTAAACCCTAAAACCCTAAACCCTAAACCCCAAACCCTAAACCCTAAACCCTAAATCTCAGGCCCAGCTGCCAGATCTGTCCAGATCTTTCTTCCAGATCTCCAAAATCCCCCCCCCCCCCACATCTGAATCTTTTGCCCGCACAGACAACTTTGCCATTTACAAGGCTTTTCTGAGTGGCTCAAAGCTTCAAGGCCTGGCAGGGATGCCTAGGCGCCTCCCCCTCCCGCCCTCCCACTCCACCCCCTTCCTCCCCTCCACCCCTCCATCCCGCTCTCCTCCCGCCCCCTCTACCCCCGACCCCCGTTCCAAAAAAAAACCGTTTCGTTCAAATCGTTTTGTTCAAAAGGTTATTGGGGCCCAAACCCTATACAAGTTCTATACAGCATTTCACACAGACCCGACTGCACAGGGGGCTTGGAGGAGCTCGAAAAGATCTAGGCTGGAGAGCCTTAGAGGGTCTGTGAAGCATTTAGGGGCCTGACATGGCTCCCCCGGAAGCGGTTTCGGGCAAATTGAAGGGGCTGGAAAAGCATCCGACAGTTGCATGATACTTTACTCAAGTCGCCCTAAGCCAGATGCACACACAAGCTGCTTCACTGCAAACAATCGCAATCCACGAGGCTTCACAGTCACAAGGGTCAGCGTGACGCGTTCAGTGGCTCATAAGAAACAACAAATTCCGATTGTTCACAGACAGGAGTCACAGAATCCCGCTACTTCATCATGAAATCCCTTCCAAAAAGCTCCCGGGCTGCGCGGCGCAGCTCTCCCTTTGCACCATGACAAGAGATGCTGCATGAGTCACAGCGTTCATTTCCTTCTCGCTCGAACGAGGTTTTGCAGTGGTCCCACTCTAACATTTCATCAGAGTGAGAAAAGTAACTGCGATCAGCCGCGAGCCCTACGCATCTTGGCTAGGGCCAGCACTCAACGGGTCTGGATCTCTTTCCGGACTTTGGGGAGGCCACGGCCAGCCTTCGGCTGGGATGCCCGCAGGTCTTTCAGGCTGCTCCTGCTTTGGGTCTTGCGGGTCACTGCTCTCTGCCTCATCGCCACGACTTCGGTACATTTCGCCACAAAAGCACAGGAGCCCAACTGCCGCGATGATGATGGAGATGTAGACAGTGCCGCTGAGATCGTCGGAGGTGAGGCCGTCCTCTTCGCTTCGTGTCTCCACCTGACAACTTATCGATGTCTGGGTTTCTTTTTGGTTGTCCTTCGTTTAAAGTTCCTTTTTACTGTGCGATGTGTACATATGTGTACTATAGGCTTCCTGATGCTGCAGGGCATGGTATGACATACACCATATAGGTATGAGAGAGAGAGAGATAACATCTTTGAGGATACGTTTGGGACAGTCCTCTTGCAGTTGTAATTGTGGGGTTTTGGTGAGTTGAACCATTCAAACTCTTTGAATTCTGTCAATGGTTCAGAATGTGTAACTGTTCACATTTACACATGCCCTTGTGAATTTAGATACCTCCAAGGCCCCTCTGCCATCCCCTCATTCAACTGCTAGTAACTTACAATGACTTAATCTGTTGATCGTTTGTGTCAGCATGATGTGCATGGTCTAAACTAGAAAAAGGACTGAAGTAAATTACATCAAAATGATTGAGGTAACTTCACTTCGAAATTCGCAACGCTTGTGATCTTAAGTTTAATGTATACTATATACATTAGGATGACGGATTGAACTACATCAATTAGATAGACGGTCTAAGTTGATCTCATTGTTTTACCGATTTTATAGGGTATATATGTTATTGAATCTATAATTAGAAGGTAACTGTAAACCATCTGGATAATGAAGCTTTATAAACTCTATGGTTTATGTGGATTGTAAAAACTGCGTAAGCTTTAGAAACCATACAAACGGTCTGAACATTCATATGGCATTACTTATATGAACTAATACTGGACCAATAGAACTGGTGTGAAAATAAGACTGATACGTTATGTGCTGTGTTCATGCGCATAAGTTTTCGTACGTTATATGCTGTGTTCATGCGTATGAGCTTTGGTACTCTTGAAGTTATCACGTAATCCATGAAACACGGGAAAACCTGTAGGGAACCATTATCACACTCAGGTTCACGATGAATGTTGGTGGGCTTCGTGGGGGTAACTGGATCTTGCAAATGCCAATCCCCTGACGCCACTGGTCCCACGCTTTCCATGACATGATTGGGGGAGAGGTGTGTCAACTAGTTTGAGTCTAACAGCTTCTGATTGAGCACGATGGTATTAAGGGTATTTCTGTCAAAGATGTCAGTTTCAGGTTTTCGTGCGAAAGCACACCAAGCAATTACTTGACTGCAATGGTGAAAGCGTTCTACTGCTACGCACGCTGAGCATTGAAAAACGTGCTTTCAGAGTTTGAGTTCTCTCACGCAGGCCGTGAGTCCGACAGCGCTTTGGCACACACACACACACATACGCACAGACAAAGAGACACAGAGACACAGAGACGCACACACACACACACACACCCACGCACGCAGCCGCGCACGCGTGCATGCGCATGCGGACATATTTGGTTTGAGACATCGCCTCACCTCGCACTTCGACAGCGGGAAGGCATCTTTGTTAAACTTGTTCTCCTTGAGTTCCTCGAGCAGCCCGCCTGATAAGAAGCAGCTTGGTTTAGTCACTTGCGTGCCCACAGCTACGGACATGCAATCAGCATGCTTGGCTTAGGGCATGGGGCTTAACTAAGGTTTGAAGTTTAGGGCCGAAGTATGTTGCATGTTGGTTTTAAGGGAGGGAATTAAAGAGCAAAAGGGTAGGCTTCCCTACCGATCATAGCTCCTAATCTGGTTCCCACTAATGAAGAATAAGCTCCTTCCTTCCCTAGTAACCAGCAGTCTGCCTGTTAAGCCACTTGTGAATGCCCAGGACATACTGTGAGCAATCCTATCACCGACTGGAAAGGAGAGTGGCACACTCCAGAGCAGGTCTCCTGCACGAATGAAATTGCAGTCGTCACGCCGATTCCCAAAGTTGTCGTAGTTACAGCGAGATATGTCCTCGGAGAGGCCTGAGTTGCAATCTTGCTCCCTGATGTTTCCTGCATGCATGCTGTTGATGATTTCCTGGGACACTACCATGGCTCCACACCTCCCAGCATGCATGTAGCGGGCAGACTGCTCGATCACAGGCACTGATTCGAACATCGCCAGCGGGTACAAGTTGCTAAAGGTGGGGTACAACACTGACGGAACACATATTTTGATGCCAAGGTCAACGGCGGCATTGATGTCAGCAATTGTTCCCTCAGCACCACGCTGAATGACAAGCTGCGACGCCAGACTTGCTGTGTAGCTGGCCAGTGTAACAAGGATGAAAAACGCAAAAGCAACGCTGAAGAGCTTGTGCGATGGACCTCTTTCAACATCATGACTGCTCTGACCAAGAAGGAAATCATGCCACACATTGAATTGGGACCGGCCGAACTCTGCCACACTCCATGAACACAAGCCCTTCGGGTTTTTGAAGAAGCCTTTCTCACAGAGCTGCACCAACCAAAGCAATGCCGACAAACCGCACAGAAAGAGGACGATGCTGAGCCACGCATCCGCAGTGAACGGACGGAGGGGTGCTTCCAGGCGGGTCCAGAAAGTGATCTCCTCCTGCTTCTTGGGCACCACCAAGTAGAAGTAGTCGTGGCGCACAGGGGGAAGGAAGGTGGCCAGCTGATTTCGTTCGGGCGTGAGCCAAAGATCCGCGATGCAAAGGTCGAAGTTTCCGATCGCCACATCGTGCACACACGCTGTGTAGGAGCTCGAGTATAACTGCCTCGTCACGAAATTAGATACGACCATATAACTTGAAAAGAAAAGCGCTGCATTAAAAGTAATTGTCGAAGCAAAAGAGAAGGACACTATACTGGGGTTTTAGTGGTTCTCCTCTTCTTTTTCTACTCAGCGAAGAGGCCCCCCCCGAAAGGCTAGTGTTAAGTTATTGATTCTCTTCCTTCCTTCCTTCCTTCCTTCCATCCTTCCTTCCAGTGCATTAACCCCCTAGGGCTGCCCAGTGATTCCCGGGATGGCTATGCAGATCTATGCAAGGGCATGCTGGCGATGTCCTTTGTGCCTCTTCATGTTTGTAGTACGAGATGAAACGTGCGATAGCAAATATACTGCATGTGCTGGCTGAAGAAGGACGAGGATTTGCTACTATGTTCACTTCAATGGTCTGTTCTTTTCATCGTCAGGTTCGCTCTTGTAACTACCCCCCGACGCCCCCGCGAGACCACGCCTGTTTCTACACCCCTAGCAGACACCACCAAAAGGGCCACGCGGCTCGCATCCGCACGAGCAAGGAGGCGAAACGCCAAAGCCTCCGAGATTCGGAGATCGTGTGATCGAAATAATGGCAATCCAGGTGGTGCGAGCTCATGGTGAGGCCGCCCATGCTGAGGTTATGTGCCCCGACAAGTGTGCGTGCTGGCAGAAGCAGCAGCAGCAGCAGCAGCAGCAGCAGCAGCAGCAGCAGCAGCAGCAGCAGCAGCAGCAGCAGCAGCAGCAGCAGCATGTGCGCAAACAGTAGTGGCGGAGAGATGCACAGAGCAAGGGGTCTCATGGGGGTGTTCGTCCAAATTCAAGATTTAACAAAAAACATTATATCCACATACAAAAATACAAACTGCCTATGTTCACGTGTCTACAACATCTCTCGTTCTATTTTTGTTCATTGTGCCGTCGCCTCGACTGCTCCGTGGCCCAGCCGGGAGCAACCTTTATCTGCGGCTTCGGTTCGAACAAGTCAAGGGACCTGTCAAAGAATTCGAGAGCCAAAAGCCAACACAAATGCAACTGTTTCAAACAACAACATTTAAAAAGATTCCCACCCTTCAACAAGATAGAGAGAAAGAAAGAGAGAGAGAGAGAGAGAGAGAGAGAGAGAGAGACGAGAGGATATTTCTGAAAGACCTTTCAAAGAAATCGTAGCTCGCGCCGCCATATCCCTGCCCCCGGGTGAGCACCCAGGGCGGAAAGGGATCCACGGCAATCTTGATGATGTATCCGCCTATGCCTTCAGAGTGTCGTGTGCCATCATACAAGTTCATGGATCCACATGTCTCATAGCTGTAGAAGATGGACATGTTGACAATGCTGCTGCTCGACGTTCGACGGGTTCGGCAATGCGGTGAAGCATCACTTCCTGGCGTCTCCCCAGCGGCCTGGCACTGACCTTCATCCAGAGGGCACAATGTCATGTCCACGTAGCACCAAGGGTTGGTGCAGTAGGAACCCGCGTTGGCCTCGCAACCGAACAAGGACAGATTTGCATCGTATGCGTGGCAGCCCGTGGTGCCATAGTCCGCTGATATACCTTGGGCAGCCAGCTCTGACCGAAGCCGGTCATATAAGTCGCCCGAGCTGTTTGAGAGACAAGGGCACTCCTGCGAGCTTCTGGCGGCCAGGGCATGGGGCAACAAGAGCACGAGGATTTGAACCCGTCTGATGTTTCCGATGTTTCTCATATTGCACGCGGCACACTTGGAGCCCAAATGCTGCCTCGTGTTGCAACTTGCAACTGGGTCCCAGTGACCTCTCCCGCTTTCGGTTGATTATGTTGATTCACTCTCGCATACCGCCGCCTTTCCCATTGGGCCTGACAAAGGAGAAACTCCGGAACACATCCAAATTGGTACAAGATCCAAGGAGCTTCCCTGACAATGAAGCTGACCAGCCATCAGCATTCTGCATAAGTCTGCCTAAGGCCTGCTCGCGACATAAGCGGCAACCTACATGTTAAAGATGTTTAGCTCTTTTGCTCGAACGGAAGAGCAGCTCGGGTGGCGTCCATTGAATCAGTGCCTCGCCATCAAACGAACGCTGTCATTGCGGTATGGTGCGCATTGCGCCGCTCGCCTGAAACATCCTGAAGTATTGCAGAGATTTGCATCGTGTTCGCAAGGCTGAATTCAAGGTAATCTACGAAACTCCTGAAGCGCAACCCACCCGTATCAGCTAAGAAGCAAGATCTCGAGTAGGCCCCTTCAACATGCTATGCGAAGAGGTCCGGGTCAGGCAATTTGCTTGCTCCGACAGAAACATATCGTACAGGGGGCACGCTCAAAAGACTCATAGTCTGGCGGCAGGCTATACCTAAGTTGCAGCAAGCGTGGTCAAAAACCTCGGGATCTGTAAATCAGCGGATAGGCTACGCTCGTGCGTGCTGTCCGCCAAGAAGCCTGGAAATCCAGCAATCCTCTTGCCCAACTCGCTTGCAGCGCGGCAAGCCTCATCCTCAACGCTCTGCACATGTTTAAACTAAGCAAGACTGTCGAGAGCATCGAGAGCCGAAGCGTTTCCAAAACAATAAGCAGTAAGCTCTCGGCTTTGCTGGGTCTGACCTGGTTCAGAATGCCAAGCTCCTGCAAGCCCTGTGAGTCCAAAGTGCCGCTGCTGATGGACAGTTGAGCTGCAACGGCTTGCCCCACAAGCTCTCCGAGACATTCCTTAGTGAGTCACTAAGGAAGCGAATGTCAGAAACCCACTTCCTTGTGCGTACCTCCCAATGTGGCAATGTGATGGCATCAGAACAAGCGTCCGGCGGCGAAATGATGGGCAGCACGAAATCTGCATCCAAAGCAGCGATGCGATAATCGCAAGCCAAAGCCAGGTTCCATGATGGCCCTGAGATCCTTCCCCAAGCTGCCAAGATGACTGGTACACCTGCGCCAAGAACGCAAAACCCAGCGGATTGCAGCCTAAGCCTTTTCTACGAGTACAAATTGAAAGGTCCGCTAGGGTTATCGCCGGGATGCTGATAGCTCGCAGTCCCACAAGGAAGGCACCGCTTGCGAGTGCGTAGCTATGCAAGTTTGCCGGTCCCGGCACGCCCTCCAAGTGCATGACGACCGCCTCACCAAGAGGGAGTTGCCAAGAGGGCCAAAGGGAGGTGAAGTCTGTGGCCAGCAGTTACTGCGAATCCGACCCTTCGACTCGACAGCAAAGAAATCGAATCTAGTCGAAAGCAAGAGCTCGAAAACCCACACAGCTGCATCCAGTTTACAGATTGCTGCAAGATCAGTGCCTTGACGTTCTTCCGAGTGCGCTGCATGTTGTGGAGTATCTCCACCGCTGCCTCCAGAGACTCCTTTCGATTCACGTCGCTGGCCTCCAAACAATGCCCGACATGAAGGCTTTCCATTGTCCTGCGAAGCCATCTCATTAAGCTCCTTAGTCTGGAGTTGAAAGCGCCCGCAAAAGCCAAGAAATAGTCTACGTATGTCCACACTGCCAGAAGGGGTGGAGTTTATGTTTTTGCGCTGTCCTTTTGTAGCTGGCTTTGCTTGGTTTTTCTAGGCAACCGTGTCCAGACAAACCGGCTAATAGTGCTTAATTTCGCTTACGCCCTCTACTTTAATCAGAATGCTTATTGTCTCGTTTTTTTAATATCAGAAGAACCTCTGTTCTATATATTTTATAGGAAGATCTCCATTTTCTCCAGATACTTCAATATCCTTTATTTGCTCTGTTATTTCATACTTAAAAGGAAAACTTAGATCGTGTCCATGTCTTTTGAAAAAAACAAACATCTATGTTCTCTATAATCGACTAGGAAATTAAACAAGAAAATGTTTGTTTGTACTACAGTATCTGATATATTGCACAATCATATGTATGTATATAGGGTATGATAATAATTCTTGTATACTCCTCATTATGTATTAGAAAGTATATTGAATTATACATTCGACTATATATGTGTATATTAAATAACAATCATTTTAGAATAATATACGTACATATTACGTTTCTTATCTTAAACAATTCATATTTCGAACATCCCCACCCTACAAGCACGGAATTTGCGAGCTCACTCTGGGCTTGGGTACTCCAGACACGCTCTAGGCATTCCCTGGGTTGGGCACTACAGGAATTTTCGGGGACATTCTGGGGTCCCTCTCCCCCGTCGACGGTCTCCCCTAAACCAACCCGAACCCCTCTTTCTCTCACAGGCGCTCAGTCAATGTCAGGCCTGTCGTGGCAGTACAGCCAGCTCAAAAGAGGCAATGGCCCGCCACCAACCCGAACCCCTAAAACCCAAAACCCAAAACCCAAAACCCTATAACCTTAAACCCCAAAGCCTCAACCCTAAAGCCCCAAAAGATATCATGTAGCATACATTATGTATAAAACTTGGTTCTACATTATGTATTGAGCATTTATTTCTTACGTCATAGACAATGTGTCTAGCTTACACAACATAGTCTGTAGTATCTATACATATACATATATATATATATATGGTACCCCCCCCCCAAAAAAAAACTACCATTTTATTACTTTTCATACTACGATAAGAGTGATATGTGGCACGTGGTACGTTTCGCACATACAGCCGATTCAAATTGAAACGGCCCGTTTCAATTTGAAACGGGCCCCAAACCGAAGGTTGAAGATTGAAGATTCCCAGGAACTCTTTCTGGGAATCTTCGATTTGAATCTTCAATGGGTGGCACGTTTCAATTTGAATCGGGCCAGCCTGTTCAGATCGAAGATTCCCAGAAAGAGTTCCTGGGAATCTTCAATCTTCAAGCTTCGGTTTGGGGCCTGTTTCAAATTGAAACGGGCCGTTTCAATTTGAAACGGGCCGGCCTGTTCAGATTAAGGATTCCCAGAAAGAGTTCCTAGGCATCTGCAATCTTCTTTCGTTCAGTGTTATACTTAAATCTTGTCGCGCCCCGTAGCTCGTGTGTGTGTGTGTGTGTGTGTGTGTGTGTGTGTGTGTGTGCGCGTGCGTCTCTCTGCGTCTCTCTGTGCGGACTTTTCTTGGCTGACTCAGAAACACTCCTCACGCAGCATTCGACCCGTTGCTTCAAGCAACTTCTGCCGTGTCTGGAATCGCCACTGCCACTGCCGGACATACTGCATGATGACTGGGTTGGGCCGGCCGTTTGTACACGTGCGAATCCCATTGGGCAGCCACGACTTGATCTGCTGCCAAATGGCATCCACAGTGCCGGTGTGCACAAGGATGCTGGGATACGGACCCTGACGAACCTTCAAGCAAAAGAACAACCTGAACAACGCTGAAAACGGAAGAAAGGACAGTGAGAACGTGCTTCACAACGCGATTAACCCCCCCCCCCCACCCACCAACCCAAAAGAACAACCTGAACAACGCTGAAAACGGAAGAAAGGACAGTGAGAACGTGCTTCACAACATGTCGCGATTAACCCCCCCCCTCCCCCCCCCCCCTCTCTCCCCTCCCCCCCCCCCGTCCCCCCCCCCTCCCCCCCCCCCCCCCCCCCCCTCCCCCCCTCCCCCTCCCCCTCACCCCCCCCCCTCCCCCCCCCCCCCTCCTCCCCCCCCCCCTCCCCCCCCCCCCTCCCCCCCCCCCCTCCCCCCCCCCCTCCCCCCCCCCCTCCCCCCCCGCCCACCCCCAACCCAAAAGAACACCTCACAACGCTGAACAACGAAGAAAGGACAGTGAGAACGCCTCACAACGCGATAACCCCCCCCCCCCCACCCACCAACCCAAAAGAAACAACCTGAACAACGCGAAAACGGAAGAAAGGCATGAGAACTGCTTTCACCATGCTCCTCGATTAACCCCCCCCCTCCCCCCCCCCCTCCCCCCCCCCCTCCCCCCCCCCTCCCCCCCCCATACCCCCCCCCCCTCCCCCCCCCCCTTCCCCCCCCCCCCTCTCCTCCCTCTCCCCCCCCCCCACCCTTCTCCCCCCCCCCCTACCCCCCCCTCCCGCCCCCCCCCGCCCCCAACCCAAAAGAACAACCTGAACAACGCTGAAAAACCTTGTGCGGTTAACCCCCCGCTTGCTTGAATTAACCCCATAAAGTTTAAAGGTTTCGGGTTTCGGTGTATTTGCAGGTCAAGGTTAAAATGCCTATATCTTAAATCCTAAACCTTTAAAATCTTAACCGTACAGGGTTTAAAGGTTAAAGAATGAGGCTTACGTGCTTAATCCTGTAGGGTTTCGGGGCTTTTCTTTAAAACCCTAACCTTCACCCCGCAAGGGTTAAAGGTTTCGCGTTTCCGCTTAATGGCATGTCAAGGTTTACATGTCTGAAACTTAAACCCTAAACCTTTAAACCTTAACCCTATAGGGTGTTTAAAGGTTAAGGGTTTAGGTTTAATTGCTTAACCCTATAGGCTTGGGGTTTGGGGTTTCTCGTTAAAACCCTAAACCCTGGACCGATAGGGTTTTGGAGAATAAGCCCTGACAACACCCTTAAACAAACCCAGAACCGCAGCGGAGCGAAGTGGAGGGGAGAGAGGGGGGTGGGGGGTGGGGGTGGGGAGTGACTTTTGGTCCTGCCTATTGTGGAAGACCGACCCCTGGCACCCTCTCCCCTCTTATTTAAAAGCAAAAGAAGTCCTTTTTAAGCAAATTTGTTGTGTTGGAGATTGAGTACACAGATTGCGTGCCAACTCATACATATAAAGCCAATACACAGTATGAATAGAATATGCATGTGAGTATTGCAACACTACGACGACGACTCCTCAACCACTCGGATTTTTAAAAATCAATGTTGCGAATTCCATTGTACCGATGTGGGGAACAAGATTCAGGGATTGAGAGAAAACATAATTAGGGAACACGATTTAGGGATCCCGCTCTTTATGATGTAACGAAAATGACTTTGGGATTGGGGTTCATTTTTGTGGGCATAGGGGCTCTCCACTTTAGGAATGAAGGACCACCCGCCTCATGGTTTATGCAATAGGGTTTTGTGAATAAGGGACAAGATGTAGGAATCCCGCTCTTTAGGATTTAGCGAAAAGATTTAGTCAGTAAGGTTCGTTTTTTTGATGATTTAGGGGGGTCTTTGTTGGGATTTAAGGATCCCCTCTTTAGGACTTAGGGACCTCCCCGCTCCTCTGTCAGGCATAGGGAGTAGGAACTAGGGAGTGAGATTAAGGGAAAAAGGTTTAAGGATCCTGCTTCCAGCGATAAGACTTCGGGAATGGGTTCATTTTTAAGGCTCTAGGGCTCTCCTCTTTAGGATTTAGACCCCCGCCCCCCTTTAGGGTTTAGGTTTAAGGGGTCAAACTCATGGAATAAGACTTCGGGGTCCCGTCCCGCTCTTTAGGATTTAGAGATAAGATTTAGGGAATAAATGGGGTTCATTGTTCTTTAGGATTCAGGGTCTCTCCTCTTTAGGATTGGAACCCCCTCTTTAGGGCTTAGGGAATTGGACTTAGGGAAGTAACTTAAGGATGGGCCTTTTAGGGCTTAGGGAACAGGATTTATGAAGGGAACCGTCGAAGCTGAGAATCGAATTCAACCCCCTTGACAGTCGAGGCTGTAGGTGCTGCGGTTTGGGGTTTAGGATGTAGAGTTTAGGCTTTATGCTTAAGGGTTTAGGGCATGCAGTGCTGTCTTTTCGCACCTCAGGCCGGAGCCTCAGTGGTCCTGGATTAAAAGGGTATGGATGTATTGAGAACTAGAAAACGGGAGGTTTTAGGGGGGGGGGGGGGGTAGTATATATATATATATATACATATGTATTGTAAATTTCAGATTGTCGACTAAATATTCGATGTTACATACTTGTTCACGTATATTTCATATGATTGGATCTAGTGTGTGCATATGTGTATTCTGTCGCGTCTGAGCATCTTTTTTCCTTCATTCTTTCTTTCTGTCTGTCTCACTCTATCTCTGTCCTTAGATCTTTACTTCTAACTTTATTTCTTCGCTTCTTTATTTTTTGCTTCGCTCTCTCCCTCATTGTATCTTTTTGTTTTGTGTCTTTCATTCTTTCCTTCTTTCTTTATTCTGAATATAGCGAAACAGAAGTTTCTCTAGCACAACACACGAAAACCCGCGTAGATGAGTTGTCTCTCGAATTAAGCATATTCTGATGAGAATGGCGGAAAATCAGTGGCCTTCCTAGAAAACCCACGAACACGAAACAAAAATAGCCCAAGCATCTGCACCACTCCGACAACTCAATGTGAAAGACACAAGCCATCGCCCACAACACTTTGGTCAAGATGCAAGGTGGGCACAGTTGAACTCGTCGAAGTAGAGCCTTCAATCCCAGTGCCAAGATCTCGGATGCACAGCTAAACTTGAGCTGAACACCTCGCGGAACTTGATGCCGCGTCGGACTGCTCACCATTCACCTTCTTCATCCTCAGGCAATGCGCTGGGAAATCCCTGGAAGCCAGCAGGTGCACTTGCACAACCATTGCTACTTAGGGGTTGTTTTCACAGGCAAATTCACACTTCAATACGTCCAATACGTAACACACATGAGAACTTTCCAGACAAACAACGAAAGCCAAACGGGAGGACTTCGCCACACGCGGCGTTTGCAGATTGTGCAAAACTGGCAATGGTCCCTCCTGGTTTCAACTCCAATTTGGTAGGCTTCACTTACACCTTGGGATTTGTGCCTTGTTGCTGTGAAAGCGAAGCATGTTTTGCATGCCCCAAATGAAGTCCTCGAACTGCGCAACCACGCACACTGTACCGTACCAAGAAAGACTCGCTTTCCACACGAAACTACAGGCGAGTACAGCGATCAGCTGCCTGAAGCCGTGCGCGGGAATGCGCGCAGGAAGGGGATCATCAAATTGTGATTTTCTTTGCAAGGTTGAGGCCAGGCAGAGGCTCCATGCATTCTCGGCACAGACCCAGCCACGGCGGCCTTATGAGATGTCAGCCTATTCACAGATGAACTTGCGCAAGGCTGCATCTTGTCCACAATGTTCTCGCAGCGGCGACCTGTGTGCTTCATCATGCTGCGCGAACTCAGTATACGCAATATTGCGCAATAGCAGTCCATCACTGCCAAGAAACTGATGACCTCGACAGCCGTATAGAAAGACTTCCTTCACATCATGTGTGGTTCATTTAACAATCGGAGAATGCTCGGCTGAAGCAGCTTAAGCCCAAGCTTCGGGCTCCTTCTGATGCTGAGGCTGCGTGGAGGACTTTTACGCCCTCTGGGCTGCAAAGACGAACGCTGCAGCGAGCGCCCCCAACTCGTGCACGCAACTCAATGCAAACAGAGCTTCTGCAGTTAACAGCTTTGTGCCCGAAAGGCTTACAGCTGCAAGACCTCTTTCTTTTTTTGCCACAACGTCAACTCTAAGATCGCCGAGATGTTCACATCGGAGGCGTCGAATTACAACGCCCCGTGGTTTTCTGCTAGCTAGTGCTTGGAGGCACGTGCTGTAGTATGCCGCTGTAATCTCCACCGAATTGATTGTTGGGCGCATTTCGCAGCCTTAGCAATCCTTCTGCATTGGACGATCGCCAGATCAGACGCGTTGACCTGAGGACATTCAAAAGAGACATCAGCCCTTCTAAGCGCGGGGTGAGCACGTCGCTCGACGGCTTGACATTCAAAACAACTGCTTTTGAACTTCGCCCTCGCTCTCACACATGCCTGTGATAGCTGAGCCCTCCAGAACAAGCACTAAAGGTGGAACCGAACATCTTGACTTTTGAGACGACACTCACACCAGTGTTCACCAGTGTTGAGGACGGTGCTAAATTTAAGGCTGCTCGCCACTCGCCCCAATACATTCATACATGAGTGCATTCATACTGTATCTAAGCAACAAGGGCCCACTGCGCCTACTCGATGCACTCGCCCCCCCACCTCCGGCCCCACGCCTGTGCCAGTCCACCAAGGCCGAACTCTGGGGCCCTCCAGTGTGGTCATATAAAATGGGGGGGGGGGAGGATGTTTTGAGGGAGGAACTTGTTCTCATTCGGTCTCTGCTTCGTTTTCCTTTTGAATGACCCACGGGAAACAAAGGAAACGGAAAGGGTAATGCGAGAGGGAAGACCGGAGGAGGAAGAGGGGAAGAGAAAGGAGCGAGAGAGAGAGAGAGGAAGAAAGAGAAGTATCAAACAAGAGATGACAAGCGCGAAAGCAAAGAAGAAAAGTGGAAGAGGGAATCTGCAGAAGGAGAGAGGGAGGGAACCAATGAAGACGAGGAAGGCAGAGATGGTGAGAGCAAAGGCCTTTTGCTTTCCCCCATTCTCCGTTCCTGTCATTTCTTTTCTCCTGAAGTGGAAGGCAAACAGAAGAGGAAGAAGACAAGTGAAGAGAAATCCAAGGAGACTGGGAAAGGAGGAATCGACCTTTCTTTTCCCTATCATCTTCCTCCCTCTCTCCCTTGCTGCCCTTTTATTCTATCATCTCTTTTCTTTCGTTATTCCTTGCAGAAGGTTGTGGAAAAAGGTAGGAAAGGAAGAGGAGAGGGGAGGCAGAGAGCGAGACAGCGAGAGAGAGAAAGAGAGGAAGAGGGAAACGAATAGGGGAAGAAAGGGCGTCTTCCTGTTCCCCTCCGTTCTCGTTATTCTTTTCATTGAAAGAGAGAAGACAAAAACAACAAGAATAAAGACAAAACAGACGAGATCATGCAGAGCTCTCACCGTCCACTTTCATGCCTCTTCCTTTGTCGTCTCTGGCCTTTTTCGTCTCGGAAAGGGGTGGACGAGAAGGCATCAAAGAAAAGCAACTAGACAGAAATGGCTGGTTTCGGTCGGGGGGCGGAAGGGGGTCGGGGGGGTAGCATGATGTGACAGGGCTCAGCGACAACATGTTCAAATCATCAAAACCGGCGTGCAAGACTGACATTTGAGCTTCTTATCGAAAACCCAGAAGCCCTGAGCCGTAAACCCTTTAAGCCCTAGACCCTAAAACCCATATCTTACGTCTCAAATGCAAGTGGAAGAGAGAATGCCAAATTGTTGTAAAGGTCCATGCATAGTCGTTCAGAAGTAGAAACAAAGAGAACTGAACCAAGCACTATCCGCAATAGTGGTTTGTTTAGCTGTGTGTTTCTTTGTTTTTGTGTATATACATCTCTATATATATATATATATATATATGTTCCCCACCCCACCCCCCAAGGCTGGCGCCCCCCCCTCCCCATCCTCCCCCTGCCTGTGGTCCCCTGTGGTGGGGGGTTTTAGTGCTTTCACGGTTTCGTGGCTTTTGCCTGGCTTTAGGGTGCTTTACGGTTTTAAGGTTGAGGGCCTTAGGGTTTGCGTGAGGGTTTAGGGTTTAGGGATGGGCGAGGACTGTTGACACGGCGAATATATATATATATATATATACATATATAACTAAATTAATATATTCAAAAAAATATATATATAAAGCCCTAATCCTGCCCCTGGCGACCTTGATCGAATGGCTTTCCGGCTTGCCGCTTTATTTTGGGCTTATGGCCTCTCGACTTCCACTATTCTTTGGACCCACGCTTCTCCGTCTTCCGCATATCTCTTCCATGTACCCCCCGCCCCCTCTCTCGGAAAAAAGGACCAACATGAAGCGGAAAGGACAAATTGGAATGTGGATGGGAACAACATATGCAACCCAATGGCTTCTGGGAAATGTTCGTAAGCATACAAGTCCCCCCACCCCGAGTAAAACTCCACAATGATTTGGATTATTTCATTGCCATAACTGGAGGTTAAGTTTTCAGAAGATATCTTGAGTGACTGGCCGCAAAAGAATGAAGGACCGCTCTTGGGACAACCGATGGGACCGATGCGCAAGAAAACCCGTAGTAAAACAAAGGTCTAGTCTGTTTTGTGAATAGGCCTATATAGTTGTGTTCATTGGGTGACAGAAACTGTGGCTTGTAACTGTAAAAACGATCTGTATGAAGTGAGAAGAATAGATCATGTCGGATTCTGCCTGTACCAATTTGCATCGGGTTGGTTAGTATACTTGAGGGTCACTTTTATTTCCTAGATGCGTTCTACGATCTAAAGAATACTGGAAGCCCCGCCCTGCATGCAAAACAACAAGAATTCATATGATGTGGTCAATAAATTGGAGGCCCAGTCTCATGTTAAAGTGCTGTTGTTTGAACGGCCGGGAATATTGGAAGACAAATTAAATAAAGGTACAGCTCCTGTGACAACCGCTGCGAAAAAAACAGATTCTAACCAGGGCTAGTTGCTCGTTTTTGTGTTGTGATCCGTCTATTTTCACTGAATTGCAATAACAATGGCTTCCAACTTAAAAAAGGTCTCATGCATCAAGCGAAGGCCAGTTTCATAGTAGTTCGCTCCAAGTCTAGCATGTAAACCTTGAATTGAATTAGTATCATTCATGGACAGATGCAATTCTTAAATCAGCGCTATTTTTTCACGGCTGACAATATTGGAAGAGAACGCAGGACAGCTTTGCACTTTTAGACTTTTGGTTGCAGCTCCACGATGCAAAATGAACCCTTCTGTTTATAATAGGAGTAGTTAGTAGTTGCCTTTAACTATCTTCGTCACAACAGATATGCTATGCACCGTTTGAACGAAAAGCGAGTTTCCTATCGAAGCTTACACAATTTTTTTAACGAACAAGTCGCACTCATTTCGTGCAGGTCCACGAAATTGGTATATAGATATCTGTATATATGTATATACATACATACATACATATATATATATATATATATATTCATTTATACACATTCTACACATATCTAGATATGTTTGTACATGTGTATATATTTATATACAAAAAAAGATGCTTAATATTGTGCTTTGGAGCTTTGGAGCTGCCGGTGGCGGGCTGGGGCTGTGGGCTGGGCTTGGGCTTTGCCGGTACTCGGCGTAGTACTCGGGCCAAACGTCATTGTCACCGCGTGCCGGGACCGAGCTTGCATATTCATCCTTACATCTTATACAGCCACAGCAATTCACAGCAAACGCTTCTCTGAGGTCTGAGACCCTGGCTGGCTACAGCTGACTTGAACTCAATGCCTTCAAATGGATCCGGTGCGGATGCAGAACCAGTTTCTGTGAAACCTGGGCTTGTGCAGCATTTGGGCAGTGAAAGGAGCAAAAGGACGGGAGAGCACAGCAGCACCAGCACTAAGGCAACATTCTGTAACATTCTATTCCGGTCACACGCTGGGGGAATCCTCGCCTGTGTGAGCCTTTTTGCAAGACATGCCAACCACATTGTCAGGAATGCAAAAGTCCATTGAGATCGCCCTCTCTGGTCTCCATGTCACTCTGCCTCCAAAAATATAGTTCCGTCATGATCAATAACATTCTTTCTTTACCATCCTGAGGCAGGCCTTGCTAAACAAGCTGGTCTACCAGGCTGACGAAATTCTGCTGGACACAGAACTTTGTCTTCGCCTGTGCCCAGGCAGAGGCAGCCAGCTCTCTGCAAAACAGACCTCGACCCGTGGCCACCCAGCCTATACTAACGCAACCTCGTGAATTTTAAATCCGTCCGAATTTCGGACGGTACAGCCGCAATGAGACGACTTCCGACTTTGCCTTTCATCTTGCGCTTGGCAAACCGATATGTACGGAGGCAGAAACGGTCGGCACATGCTTTCATTGGCGTTCTCACCTCGTGGTGGTGCAGCCATGCAGCTTGGAATCAAAGGCGAGGCAGACGGTGCAGACGGTGTGGGTGTGGAGCTAGTGAGGTCCTACATGGACAAGCAGATAGCGACCGTTTCGCTGCAAATCGTTGCAGCTTGCTTAAAGGCAACCTTCCCGAAGCCCGCCGGGCTCACAACTGGTTGAGCCAGTCTGCCGTTGGAGCGCAGCAGGCCATGTGCCGCCGTGCCGTGATCAAAACACAACCAGATGAGACCACTGGAGCATGGGCGGCGTCGAATAGCAGCACGGACTTGCGCCTCCAGCGCCTCCACTTCAAGCCCGGCCACATGAATCCCACAAATGCCCGGACAATACCCCAAGCTCAAAAGACCGGATGGCCACGTGTCAATGTTCTCCCCACTGCGTGAGATAATCAAGGCGAGTGAACGAAAGCGCAAGTGCATAGTGTGAGTGATGCACAGTGTATGCGATGTGATTGTGTTTGGGGCAAGAGTGGCTTGCAGATACCCTCGCATCAACAGGCAGCCATCAATGCCCAGGAGGGTGTATGAGGAGCGAAAAGCTGACATGCGCTAATTCTGCTTGATGCCCTTTCAGTATGTGTTGACAAAAGCACTGCCCCGCGGTCCATGAGACTCGCCATGTCCACTCCACGTTCTGCAGCCGGAGCTTCTTCGCAAACTCAGTATCGCAAGGTATGGTCGCGCTGCACTGTGGGCTGCTGTGCCACTTTTTGTTCATCTGGGCATATCTGGGCCCATCCGGCCCGATATGACTGGATTAGCTGAGCTTCTAGGGCAACGGATGTCCCTCTTTAGAGCCCAGGGCTGGACAATGCTGAGGGCGGCTGTTAGCATACCATGGGCTAGGCCTGCCTAGTGAGGCATATGCTGAGACAAGCAATCTCACATTTGATCTCAGCTCAGATGCAAGGGGTCTGCGCCGCCGTGAAGCTGGCCCAGTCCTGAACAATCTGATTAAACATGATTAAGCCATATATACACAAGGCGAGAATCTTACTGTGTCAGCGGGAGAGTCTCTTCTTTGCAGACGGGAAGCAGCCGAACAACACCTTCTGTGATTGCACTTCCTCTGGAGCCCTGAAGTCCTAACGCTTCTAGCGTCTTGAAGCTTTGCGATGCCCTTGCTACGTGCTTTGCCGAACGCATCTACGATAACCGCTTCAGAATCGAAGCCGGTCGGCTTTCCCGGTGTATAGATACGGCCCTTGCTGTGACCAGGCAGCCGCACAGCACCGCACAAAACACCAAAGTGAGGGCAGGGCTGGAGTTGCGCTGGCCCTGGAGTTGTCCTGCAAAGTGCACACAGGGAGCGATCGATCTCTTAGTCGCTTCCGCTCAAGTTGTCCTCCAAGATGGTATCACTTGCAGGCATGGAAAGAGGTGGCCTTTGAAGCTTCAAGCTCTTTCAAGGCAGCGTTCCAAGGCTGGCAAAATTGGCAAAACGAGTTATGCAAGGCCCAAAGCCTTAAACCGTACATGTCTGAGAGTCCCTATCGCTACAGTAGCAAGGGGGAACAACTACAAATGGGTAACTATACGAAGGATCATGGGTTTCAAACTGACAAACTACACGAACAAGACCTCAGTGCACTGATTGCTATGCGACGTGCAGCAAAGGCCTTGCATCAGCTTCCATGTCCAGGTCCAATAAATCAACATCCGGTGCGGCCTGGCCAAAAAACTTTCAGGTGGGCTTATAATGGCCTCTGCAGATAAAGCTTCTTCTGCATTGCCATGGCTCTTTGCCTGACGATTCGAAGGCCTGACTGGACCTCATGTGCACAAGCTTATGTGAGTACAGCTTAGGGGTTGCGTACTGTAGGTCTGTAGGAGCCGCGCTACCATCAGAATCGGAGTCGCCCTCCTTTGCCACGCCCTACTTAGCAAAACCTTCTGCAACAATGACTTGGTCGCAGTTCTACTGCTTTCCCCACACAGAGCAAACAGCAAAACCACCACCAAACGGGGAGAACAAAGGAGAGTAAGGCTGAGCAAAGGAGGGGTCCTGTGGCGCGAAGCGCGGGTCGAATAAACCAAATCGGTCTTCTCGCGGGCCATCCGGTGGCCCATCTTCGGCCTCGTTCAAAGCATTTCAATACATTTCAAAGCTCGTCTACAGTCATTCCGACTCATTCCCTTTCGCTGTTCCCTACTGCTATAGTCGCTCATGCCACATGATCTCCTCTTTAATGCGCAATTCTCGATCCATGGGATCGCCCATCGTTGCCTTGTTCAGGACCTGCTTCCGACCCGGACCCCACTGGCAACGCATCTTGCATCTCGACGGTGATGTGTGTCGCACAGCAAGGGCCGGCCAGCCAAAAACATAGTGTGCAAATGTGGCAAAGACAGGGCGCAGTAACGTACAGTACCTGCTCGTTTGAGTTGCTGAGCTTGTGGCCCATCCAGACACTTTTTCTTCTTGAGGTCACCGAGTCAACAAAGCACATTCAGGTGCTAGCATCACGATGGTCACGGAAAGCTGCCTTTCGACAGCTAGCTACAAGTGCATCCAAGTGCATCACCCCAACTCTCGGGAATTTTCGAACATCAAGACAAGATCTCGACATGGATCCCTCCTTCTTTGGGTGGCGGGGCCCTTTTTCTCCAGGCGCGGCAGGGCCCTCTCTTTCCTAGGTGTGGCGGGGCCCTTTGTTCCTAGGTGTGCGGGGGGGAGGGGTTCCCTTTTGTAGGTGTCCGGGTCCCTTGTTTTTCCTCCTACGTGTGTCGGGACCCTTTATTTTCTAGGTGTGGCGGACCTTTTTGTCTTTTCCTAGGTGCGGCTGGACCTTTCTTTTCTCCCAGGTGTGGCGGGCCATTGTTTCCTAGGTGTGGAAGGGGCACTTTCTTGCTAGGTGTGGCGGGACCTTTTTGATTTCCTTGGTGTGGCGGGACTTTTCTTTCTCTCCAGGTGTGGCAGGACCCCGTTTCTCTCCTAGGTGTGGCGGGACCCCCTCATTTGCAAACACGGTGCTTTGACGGGCTTTGAATGGAACCCCCCGCCCCCCCTGTTTGCAAACTGGGTGCCTACAATGACAAGAACTCAGATGGGCTTTGGAACAAGCTCTTTTCAAGGCAACATGTTGCCCAGCGCAAGCTTGCACGGCGAAAATAAGCGGGGGGTTAGGGGGTGGCGGGGGGCGCAGCCCCCTCCCATTTACAAACACGGATGGATTCGAAATAGACGGGGGTGTTGCAAACTGGGTGCTTACAATGACAGGTTGAAAAGAGTTCACATGAGTTTGATTATGAGTTTGCTTCATGGCAAGTTGATGCTTCATGCAAGCTTGCACGGCGAAAATAAGCACGGGGGTTCGGGGCGCAGGCCCCGCTCCCCATTTGCAAACATTGTGCTTGCATGATTGGTTCGGAGAGGATTCGAAATAAGATGGCCCGCGACACCTAGGAAAAAAGTGTCCGGCCACACCCAGGAAAAAACAGACCGCAAAACCAGGGGATGAAGGGATCACGGGACCAAGGGGGCCCGCCACACCTAGAAACCAAACCGCAGAACCAGGGGACCAGGGGGGCACCTAGGAAAAAGAAACGCCACACCTAGAAAAACAAATAACCGCCGTTTACATCTGTTGGAGCGCAGGCTTGATCCACGCGCCGTTGCCGGCCACACGATGATGCCTGGCCGTATAACCGGATGCCCATCGTGCCTGCAGTGGCATATATTTTCACAAGACAGTTCACAGCTCCTCATCATTGTGGTGACCGCGCGAACTTTTCAGCATGCCAATGTGTCCGCCATGTCGCAAACATGCGCAAAGAAAGCAAAGTGGCAAAGGGCGACGAGCATGGTCGAGATTGACAGGTCAGTCGTTGAAAACAAGGTTCGAAAGTTTAGGCGGCTTGCTTTTTGACTTTCTGTGGCGCATGCGAAGCAGCCAAGAATGCTTGAAGTACATGCACATGCCGATTTGATGTTTGTCAATGATGAGTAGGAGGACATGTCATGTCCGGCTGAGCGGAAGAATGACGCTCCTTTGGAGTCTTGGCCGGCTTTGGAGGGTTTTGTGACCGAGTGGCCGGTGAAAAAAAGTGTCGTCTTGAGAGGTGTCGAGGTTCTGTCAAGGCGTGGCCTTTGATGTTTCAAGACTAAATGCGTGGACACGCAGAAGCACGGCAACAAGATACAGGAAACACAGCAACCAAGATCCTTCATGATGGTCGTTGTCTGCATGTTTCGACGTATTGTATGACGCTTCTTGGAACCCTTTGGTGGCCTTGCTGCCTGTGAGCGTGCATTGAACCCTGCAGTAGAGAACGCATTGTCACTCCTCAGTCCCGACTGCAAGAAGCTGGCTGCAAATCTTTAATTGCCACGTTGCTGCATTGAGCTCAGCTAAGCGGAACTAGACAAGCACGAAGGAGCGTGAGAGGCTTCAGCGTGCTCAAGCGGCTCTTGCTGTTCTACTTGCTGTTCAGGAGTCGCAAAGGTACGTAAAGTACAAACGATTCCGCGTTCGAGATTCACTTCTTAGCTAGTATGGACAGGGAATGCCTACTGGATGGCATCATGCACCTGAACTACTGGTACACACTGGTACCATCTTGCACTTTGCAGGTCATGCCTCCGCACGCCCAACTGCTTCATCTGACGTAGCGCGTCCCTAGCCATGTCATAGAAATTGGCATAATTGGCTTCTGAGAGATGCAGTCTCAACATACAACCTTACAACACACAAGCAGAAAACGAAGCTTGTGAACTGTCGATGGCCTCTGTCTTGTAGCCACGCTCACGCGCAGCTCTTTCAGCAAGCTGCTCTTCTTTTAGCCTGCGCTCTGTACAACAAAATGCGCCGTTCTCTGCCGTTCGCGTTGCAAGCAAGCATTCAAAGCAGTGGCACTAGGCATGCGAACTGGGGAAGGAGTGCCTGTGGTGACACGGGACACTATGTCGCATGTGTTCTAGTCTAAGTGCCCAGCCCTGAAGAGAACACAAACCCGTCACCACAGATGCTATCAGATGCTCCACGATGCTCCGCGATGCCCCGCAGCCCTGAGCTCACACAAGATACCCACAGTGCCCTGTCAGTGCACACACAATCTTGAGGATTATCAATTACGTATGCAGCATGTAGATGTAAATTCGTCTTGTGGCCAGTGCGGTTTTCCTGCCCTTTTCCGCACATGGCGCAGAAGCAGAAAGGACTCGGCAGCGTGCCTGTTGAAGCGCCGCTCCAGCTCTGCAGCTTGAGAAGCTGACAAGGTGCGGGAGTCGTTTCCCGGTCTGAGCCTGCAAAACCACAGGAAGCACATCAGCGCACAGCACGCAGGTCCCTGAGATTGGAGAAGCATGGCTCGAAGCTGCTTAGGGGTCGAGCTCGTTCAAGGCATCCCCCAGGACCGAGCTGACAGACGAATTTGTAGTGGTCGATTGGCTGCCCCGACCTGGGTGGAAACTTGCAATGCCTCGGACATCGGTTGCCTCACCTCAGGAACTGGCCACCCACGATAGCTGTCGGTCCACCACCAGTCAGTTTGGTGTGGTGCAGCTTAGCCTGCGGCAACAAAAACAGCGTCACCTTGGTACTTAAGTTTTGACAGGAGTTCGTACTGGGCCTGCTCTCGCTCTAGCTTCAAGAGGTCCTGCAAAAGTTGATGAGAACAGTGTGACACCAGGATGCAGAGCAATTGCCTTGTCGTTGAGAAGTTTGACCAGTGCTTCGGCCTGAACTGAAACCCCTCGTTGAAGGGTAAGCTTGTACTGTCATGACCGTCATGGCTCACAGTATGTCACAGTGTCACAGCCTTCTCTCGCACGCCACTGCCTCCGCAACAGTGGCACTGCCCGGTTCAGGCCAGAGTCTACTCTGCAAGGTCTGCTGCCCAGAGTTGTCCATGTCCTGCCTCGATCCTGGCCTTCGTCCTTGCACTGGAAGTTGGCAAGGCGACGAAAGGTCAATTGTTCTCCACGCCTGAACCACGGGTTTCATGTTGCTGATGCCATCCGACAGCAGACCTGCATGTTTAGTCGGAGCACAAGGTTCTTGTCTGAGTTGGCCGCAGCTCATCGGCAATGTTGTCCCCGGCGTTCTTCACCAAATACTCTAGCCTTGCAGACTCCGAAGGGCACTAGAAGAGCACTAGGCCCGTTTGACATCAGATTTCCAAGCTGGAGCTGTTCGCTGTTCCTGAGCCAAGTACAAGATCAAAGTCTTCAAGATTCGCCGCCACCTTTGCGTGCCATGATGGACCGTTTAGGGGTTTGCGGACGAGGGCATACATGTTTCGTTGCCAAACATCTGGAGTCCCGGCTTGTCTTGATTCCCGTTCAGATTTTCGAAGCAGCGGGACATTATTTTCCTCACAACGGCACAGAACAAACCAACATGACATGCCACCACCGCATCTGCAGACAAAGCGGAACCACGAGGTTGGCTCTGCCGACACTTGTATGTCTGCGAATCAATGGCAAGTTCATGCAAGACCTTGGCCGCACGACAGTTGCAGCATGTTGTAGCAAGAACCTTTAAACAAAGTACACTGCTCATGGAATGTACGCTCCGCACGCTGTTCGGGCACCCCCATCTTTTGTTTGATGTCGCCTCGCGAGATGTACAAGCATCGATGCGCTGGATGTTTGTCAACATCTCGCGCCAACTTGATCACCATACCATTCTACTGACCATGCCCTAAACATGTTGGTTTCCCAGATGCCGCATGGGTTTTATGCTAGAGTGACGTACAGTCAATGTTGCTTTTCCGGCCTAGGGCATCTGAAGGCTATCAGCAACTTGCAAGCTACTTGTGCCTTTGCACTCAGCGACCTACTGCATGCGGAAGCCAGGCTTGCAAAGCAATGCACATGAGCATTGTGGCACACATGGAGTACCTTCCAACCTGAAAGGTTCATGCTGTAGTACCGGACATGTTCTGACGAGTGCGATGCGAGGGCAATGTCAGTAGTCAACCCTGCCTCTCGCAGATTGCGCTCCTTGCAAACACCCGACACGAGTCTTCGGCTGATGCTCTTAATATCTCTCTATGCTCCTTGAATGCAGAAATGAATACCGAAAAATTCTGCCCGGCGGGCCAAGCCCGAAATCCAAGGGCCTACTAGGCTCAATGGGCCGACAGGCGGAGACAGGTAAGCAGCTTTCGTGTTGGCTTTGTGATGCATTGCGCAACTCTGTCCCCCTTAGCCCTGAAATGCTCTACTGGTAGCTTGTCTCGTGACAAAAATGGAGCCAGCCAGCCCGAGAAGTTCTACGAAGTTCTGGGAAGTTCGCCCTTGCTCTTGGACATTCTTGAAACATCTTGAAGCCTTGAAGAGGCATGCGCCGAGTTGGCCTGCATTTTTTGACCTGGTCACTGGCCTGAGACAAATGGAGGAAGAGAGAAAAAGACAGAGGGAGAGAGAGAGAGATAGAGAGAGCGCGAGCGAGCGAGACATGGAGAGAGCATGAAAGCGCATGGGAGCCATGCGTTTGGCACTATCCCTTGTGGCTTCGCAAAAAACTCCTTCGACAGTTTGCCCTCCACTTGGCTGTTTCGTCGTGCAGCAGACAGCAGCACGCTTCAAGCACAAGGCCAAGCAGGACTCCCCATGGTGGGAAACTCTGAACAAGACTTTGAGAATGGAAGTTGATGAGCGATGGGTTGATTGTAGCATGTTGTGTGTGGTCAGATGTGGTCAGCTTGGAACGGCCCCATGATCCACGTGTTGAGCCGGCCGAGGCAGATTAACTAAGATCGAGCAAAACAAGGAGATTGGCTTCATATCTTGATTTTCCGCTGGCTACCCGAAGGACCGCAGGGCCTAGCAGCTGCAAAGAACCCAAACGACCAAAGGGCAGAGACTCGAGCCATCCGTACTTGATGTTTCGTGCGACGAATGTGCTGCCAAGAATCGAAAGGCGTTTCAAGCTCGGCAACTGCTTTGGCTTGCCTCTTTATCCTCAGTGATTGAACTGGTGCCACAGACTTTCTGCACATGTCAACAGCGCGCTTGTAAGGCACTTGCTTTATGGCCTCATGCTTCAGCTTGCCATACCTTGCTTGCACAGCAAGGCGGACAGCAAGGCGGCACGGTCTGCAAAATCTTGAACCTCCTCCGTGTCATCCTGTGCTTCTTTTACGTGGAAGCCGTGTAGACAACCAAGATTTGAAGCTCCAAGCCCCAAGGTGGCACAAAACCAAAATGCGAGGACATCGAAACTGGCGTGAATCTGTCTTCGGTGGGCCTGACGTAGAGTAGTGCCCCAGATGCCCCAGGTATTCCCACTCGATATCAGCAAAGTGCCAATGCAATCAAGGCAATTCAGTCAAGTTGCAATTTGTCAAGTGCCTTCTCCATACATGCCAGCTGGGAAAATGTCTCGTTAGCTTGGTCCCATACGCCGACGAGCATTTTCCTACGTGACGAAAGAATGCAAAAAGAAAGGCATAGAAATGTGCTAGGAGAATGGAGACTTCGTAGGCTCTGCTTCCATTATCCAATCATCTGCCCCTCACTTGCCCTAGTACGCACGCTGCAGGATAAACAAGCTTGGGCAGCTCGGAACTTGACACGGCCGTGAGTCTGTGTTACACAAGACTGACACGGTCCGGTGAAACTGTGAAACATGCCCTACCAGCTGCTACCAGCAAGAACACAATCTGATATGCTAACCGCATGCCACGGCTCTCACCCTTTGGCATACAGGCCAACACCAAATGCCTGGCATTCCAAAGTTCTTCTGACAGCGCTTGCAAAGACAGAATCACATCTGAAGGTACTGGCAATCTTGTATGACAATGGGATGCAATGGGCAAGCATGCTCATCAAGGAAGGGACTTGGTTTCCCAAATCACGCACATCTCCAGAACCTGACAAATGCTCTGACTTCTGCCCTGTCCTTGGTGTATGCATCTGCAAACTTGGCAACGTCTGAGTTGCTGAGAGGCTTGTACCTGGGCAGCTGGCCAGTCTTACTGTTTCCTTCCCGTCAACAGAAAACTTGAGCGAGCGTCGCACCATCTGTTTGCCGGACGGTTGAGAAAGTGGCCTGAAACGGCGACGTCAGCTTTTGCACTATTTCACTCTGAGCCTGCTTCTGCAGGGATTCGCAGGGTTGCAGCAGATGGGCGTGCTATTAAACAAAGTAGCCCGCAGCTATTGCGGCATGCTGGATTGGTAGGTGCCTACCAGGCCTACCATTGTCAATAGTCAACAATTTGTCGATCAGGTGCTAAATGTTGTGGGATTTTGCAGGCCAAGTCAAAGCCCTCGGCCCTCGGCCCCCGCCACCAACATCCGAATTGGCGGAGCCCACATTCCGCAACCGAATGGCCGTGCCCAGAGCTTACTTCAGAACGTGTGGAGATGCCCCAACCAATGACATGCACGCTGCTCACGTGCCAGCCATATGCCAACTCGCTATAGTGGCTGAGCGCCGCACGGCTTCGATCCACCGCCTGTCCCACGACACGCTCTTGTTCTGCAAAATGCCTGCCGACTGCCACGGGACAGGGAGGCTTGTTTTGTGATGATCATGGAAGTGTGCAGCGCTACAAGGCGGAGGCACACAAAAGTTGAAATCCCTCTCAGGGAGTCCATGCTTCAACCATCACAGCTTAGTTTGTACATTCTGGGGCCGTGGGGCTCAGGAATTTTACCTTGCTGTGCAACATTCTGTAGAGGCTTTTGACTCTTGGAGAACCATCGCATTTAGCTTCAGGATTCTAGGTTCATCACGCACACTTGGCTCAAGTCACCTTGCTTCTTTCAATCGCAACCCGGCAACGCCCTCAGGCTAATGGAACATGCTTGAACTTGCGAGCTTCAAACCAAAACCACGAGAACCAAAGTGTCAAACAGGTCACCGTGTTGCAGCATGCGAACTTGCAACCTCCTTCTTCATGCTAGCTAAGGTTGCTAAATGTTGCAAAACATCAGATATAGCCTGTCTGTCGCAAACATGACCAAGGCCTGTTTGCAGAATCTGGCAAATGCGGCCTCGGAACGAGAAAGGCTCTTTGTAGTTATTGTAGTTTTCCAAACGATGAGCCACGGATGGCCCTTGCGATTTGAGATGTTGGCATAGAGCCAGCACGTTGCATTTGTCGCTGGCCAGCTGCCAAAATTTTTGACCTCAGAAGTCACAAGCACCAAAGGTCGCAGCCTGATGACAGCGTAGTACTATCAGGTCTACTTCCACTAGGCAACAGTTGTGTGCTCTTGGCCTGCTGGAGATGTGAAGGTTGGATTGCTCCTTTGTGCTGCCTGTCTGTTGATTTGCACTGTCTTTTAGTACCCAAACAAATTTGGACCCTCTATAAACGCGTGGCGCGGCGACCCCCCAAACAAACTGGGGGGGGGGGGGGTTCCCCCGCCCCTCAGGGCCTCAAGCCTTTAGGACCTCAAGGCCTGAAACTTTCCCGCCTTTAAGATTCCTGGAGCCCAAGGCCCTCAGGGCCTCAAGCCTTACTGCGTAAGCCCTTAACCCTAAACACAAACCCTTAAAAAAATCATCCGAAAAAAACTTGGTACTATAGAGGGTAGCCAGACAAACTTACCAAAGACAGCCTGACCGGCCCGTGGGCTACCTATCACAAAATTTGTTTGGGGCCTCGTTTCGTAATGAATTTGCATAAGGCTTTACATGGAACTGGCCGGGCTTAGATTTCTGGATTCTCCGCGCTCTGGCTCTTTAAGATTCCTGGAGCTTCAGGAGGGTACGGTCGCACCACGACAAGGAACCACACAACAGAACCATGACAGGACTTTACGGAACCACGACAAGAAAGCAGGCAAAGCATGACAATGTTTTCTCGCAGAGTGAGTAGTAGTAGTCACCCCCCCCCTCAGATACGGGAGACCGGATTTTCAAGCTTTCAGGCTCCGAAACCTCCGAAATCCGGTCTCCCGTAGGTTTCCCCCCCACCCCCCCCCCTAAGCTTGAGGAAGTAGTAGTAGTAGTAGTAGTAGTAGTAGTAGTAGTAGTAGTAGTAGTAGTAGTAGTAGTAGTAGTAGTAGTAGTAGTCGTCGTAGTAGTAGTAGTAGTAGTAGTAGTAGTAGTAGTAGTATTGGTAGTAGTAGTAGTAGTAGTAGTAGTAGTAGTAGTAGTAGTAGTAGTAGTAGTAGTAGTAGTAGTAGTGGTAGTAGTAGTAGTAGTAATAGTAGTAGTAGTAGTAGTAGTAGTAGTAGTAGTAGTAGTAGTAGTAGTAGTAGTAGTAGTAATAGTAGTAGTCACCCCCCCCTCAGATACGGGAGACCGGATTTTCAAGCTTTCAGGCTCCGAAACCTCCCAAATCCGGTCTCCCGTAGGTTTCAACCCCCCCCCCCCCCTCAGATATGGGAGACCGGATTTTCAAGCTTTCAGAAACCTCCGAAATCCGGTCTCCCGAGAGTCGTTTCGTAAAATCGTCAATAGAGCATATTATAGCATCAGTACAAATAGTCATGAGACCGTAAAATCCCTGTCGCTGTTCTGTATTCCTTGTCTGTGTTCTGTAAAGCTTGTCATGGTTCCAATGTACCCTACCTGGAGCCCAAGACCCTCAGGGCCTCAAGCCTTACTGCGTAAGCCCTCAACCCAAAACACAAAGGGTAATATTTTTTTAACCCCCCACATATTTTTCCCACCCTCCCCATATTTTTCTGACCCCCCTACATATCTTGTTAACCCCCCACATACCTCTCCTGACCCCGCCACATACCTTGCTAACCCCCCCACATACCTTGTTAACCAATGCTCCCATCATGGGTTTGGAAGGGGTTCGTTTAACCTTGCTCGCCTCTTAAGAAAAGAGGGGGGGAGTTGGGGGGAGCGCAGCCCCCCGCATTTGCAAACACAATGCCCGCATCGTGGGTTTGCATCATGGGTTTGGAAGGGATTCGTTTGAAGCAAGCTTGCCCGACTTGAAATATAACGGGGCATTGGGGGGGGGCGCAGCCCCCATTTGGCAACACAATGCCCGCATCATGCCCGCATCATGGGTTTGGAAGGGATTCGTTTGAAGCAAGCTTGCCCGACTTAAACAAAAATCAAGCGGGGGGTTGTTGATGGGGGGGGGGGCAGCCCCCCCCACATTTGCAAACACAATGCCCGCATCATGGGTTTGGAAGGGATTCGTTTTGAAGCAAGCTTGCCCGACGTAAAAACGGGGGGGGGGGGGGTTGGGGAGGGTGCAGCCCCCCCATTTGCAAACACAATGCCCGCATCATGGGTTTGGAAGGGATTGGTTTGAAGCAAGCTTGCCCGACTTAAACAAAAATCAAGCGCGGGGTTGTTGATGGGGGGGGGGGCAGCCCCCCACATTTGCAAACACAATGCCCACATCATGGGTTTGGAAGGGATTCGTTTGAAGCAAGCTTGCCCGACGTTAAACAAAAATCAAGCGCAGCCCCCCCCCCCCCATTGGCAAACACAATTCCCGCATCATGGGTTTGGAAGTGATTCGTTTGAAGCAAGCTTGCCCGACTGTTGTGGTTTCTTTGTTTCGTCCTTTCTTGCTTGATTAAGATCTTTCTTGCCTGCTCTCCAGGACATCATTGTGGAACAGCTTCTCTTCCGGTCCACCCACAGCCTCTCAACATGCTCGTATGCCCCTCCTGGCTCTCTGAAGGAGGTTGTTGAGTTGTTGGGTTGCTGTTGTGCCGCCTCGAAGTTGTGAAGCAGTGTAGCCAATGTAGCAAATGTAGCCAAGTCTTCCAGTCATCTTATCGAGGCACAGCTTCTTCGATCTGCCCTGTGCGGATCTTCGGCTGGAGGCGGGTGTTGGCTCTGTGGCGAGCTTCTCGTGTTGGGGAGCTGCTGCTCAAGCACCCTTTCCCGCTGCCCTCCGTTGGGCACTTGTTGGTGCTTTGTTTCGTTGGTTTTTTGCGGCTGGGGGTTGGTGTGCCTCGTTCGCTCTTACTGCTCTTCTCTCTCCTTGTCTACATAGTATCGCTCCACCACGCTCTGCACCGATGCTTCCTCCTTCTCCTCCTTTCCATTGGCTGTGCCGCTTCCCACGCTCGCCTTTCATTATCACTGTCTGGTGCGGGTTGCTGTGCTGTCGCAATGCCAATTTCTAGCAATGTGGAGGCGGGCGTCTCACTATCCCCGTTTTCTGGGGGAGGCTGGGTGGCAAGTGGTCTGCATCATACCCCAGGATGGTCAGGTCCGTGAGCACGTGGGCGGACACTTCACTGTAGTCGGTGCTGCTGGCAAGGTACCAGCACTTGTTTGATGTCTCCCTACTGCTCCCATGGATTCCTCCGGGTGAAAAGTGTCCGATGGCATGGACGGTGGTTTGGGCGGTGGCTTGGCCGGAGGGAGGGGGGCTCCCTGTCCGGGTGGGAGTTCTGGCTTCCCCGCCTGGGTTGGTTCGTCTGTTTCCCCGAGCTGGTTGCAAGGTAGTTGTGCCTTTGAGCACTTGCTTTCT